AAAACCGATTCTTATATTATATTTTTCAATCTTGACCAATCATCGATTAACACGTCACTATCAGGCTCAATGTGTTATACCAGACAATTACGAATTCACCTACAATTTCACTGTTTCCGACCAAGTCGGCACTCATTGGTAGTAAGTATTTATGAAACCAAAAAAATTATTTGAACTCATGTACTCACTGTCTCACTATAATATTTCTTTTAGTCATGCGCATGAAACGATGCAATATGTTGATGGAGCTTTTGGCGCGTTAAGTAAGTTATTTAATTATTTAATTTAAATCGGCTTTTTTTTAATCCAATTCCTTATGATTTCTCTATTTAATTTATTAGTTATTCACGATCCTGATGATCCGTATAAATCGGAATACGATGAGGAAATTATTGTCATGTTGAATGATTATCATCACACCAATGCACAAATTTTATTAAAACAATTCTTAACTCCTGAAAGTCAAGGAGAAGAGGTAAATTTAATGTTTTGAAACTTAATCCCAAATTCCTAAATTCATATTAATTCATTCTCGTTATTTTATAATAGCCAGGTAAGAAAGATTGATATAAGTACAAAGGTATGACTGCGTGATGCTAATTAGAACGATTCCCACATCTATAGTTCCTGATAACGGTTTGATTAATGGAAAAAATAATTTCGATTGCTCCAAGGCCCCATCGGGTTCTAAATGTGTGGACAATGCCGGTCTTGCTAAATTTGAATTTGTTCAAAATAAAAGATATCGCCTTCGTATCATTAATACTAGGTAATTTACATCTTCGTATTATGCAATTCAAAAAAAAAAAATAACGAACGCTTTTATTTTTCTAGCGCATTTTCGGCATTCTTCTTTTCTATTGATAATCATGAAATGGAAGTTATAGAAGCAGACGGTCTCTATACTAAACGAAATAAAATCCATCGTCTTCCCATCAATGTCGCTCAAAGATATTCTGTTATTGTTACTGCAAACCAACCTGCCGATAATTATATAATGCGTTCTGAATTTCAAAAGGAATGCATGCCAAATGCTGCAGCTAGTCTTCCTATTATAAAAGCTATAGTACATTATGAAGGAGCCCCTGATAATCCCGAACCAAAAGATAATCCATGGTCAGATTCCTTGACAGAATGCGTTGATCTAGATCACAAGACTTTACAACCATTTACAGAAGAAAAGATTCCCGAATCAACGAAAAAATTGAAACTCGAAATTTGTCTGGAAAAAGGTTGAAAAGATAATGTTGTTTGATATTTCATAAATTTACAGGTTGGGATTGTCATCTATAATTGATCTTTTATCGGAATTTAAAGATGGGATGCATTCTTGGTTTGGTGACAAGTGGATTCCATTAAAAACTAAAGCATTATCAAAAATAAATTTAGAAGTTACGGAATTTGATGGTAAAATGTTAAGAGTTAATCTCGAAAATTGAAAATGTATATTAAAGAATTTTGTAGATGATTATTCTATTATATGTGTGTGGTACTGAATTTCTTACACTTTTATTTTTAGCTTTGCATTTCGTATGATTATCGTTAAGAAAATTAAATTTACACAAAGTTTGAAATTTTGTGCTTAAAGTGATTAATAATCGAAATTTTTTTATTAATTGTCATTCATCCGATATAAAATCCTAACATAAGCTTCTTTCCTCCAGGATCAAATATTCAGGAACTTTCCTGGCATATATTTATTTATTTATTTACCTTTGTAATTTAAAATTGAAGGCGTAAAAATTGGATGTGAAAATCCTTCATTTTTAAAATGTTAGGAAATATTACGAGATGTGTCTTTGTTTTGAAATATATATTTTTTAATCAGTTGTTTCTATTAAGACAACAAAGCATTTTAAAATACGTAACGTAGTGTGCCCTTAATTATAAAAAAAATTCCGAATATCCGTGAGCAGAATTCAAGTTTTTACACTAGTAAAAAATTCTTCAAATTATAAAACTTTACTAAATATAAAAAAGTTTAAAAGTAATAAGTATAATTTGTAAAAAAAAATAAAAATAAAAAAAGGAAAAAAAAGCGATTTATATGTAATGAATATAGGTTCTATTATCAGTGATTATTCCCCGTATATCAAAGCGATTTTAAAAATAATTACCATAAATAATATATTACTATAATATATCTACACTCTCAACCTCTAAATTCCCAATTTCAAATCCACCACTATATTCCAACAAATCATTTTCTAATAAACTTTCAATAAATTGGATATCTGGTTTTGCAAGTGTGTATGTTGAATGATAAACATACAAACTAATGTTTCTTAAAAACAACTCTAATTGTCTAATGCTAGTTATGTTATGTAATGTCAGCATTGGACGTTTATATCCTCCGGACGAAATTGAGTGAGTCCCCCATATAAACTTATTATTTGATAAATTGTCGAGGCTTAACTAAGAATTGATTTTAAAACAAATATGAGTATAAATTTTATAGCATGAAAGTTGTTAAAAAGATTAACATATTAAATTCACAGTACTTTTGATGGATCTTCATGACCGGATAAATGATCTGATAGTTTATCCAGAAGTGCATAAGGCGAGTACTCGAGGGTACGCTTTATCACATTGATGGTATTCGAGATGAAAATCCATTCATATCTGGAATAAAAAGGATTATATTTATTAACTAGAACTGTAAGCCCAAAAACAATTGCAAGATTTGATGGAAGTCATAATACGGTTGAAAACTGTTGGTTTGCATCACAAATAGCAAGTCTAAAAATTTGCATGCAGCCAATAAAGAGTTGGCAACTTCAGGTTGTTCTGCAGCTCCCTTTGAATTGTCTTTTGCCGTGGTATCTTTTTGAAGATAAGACCCACAAAGGCGAAGCTAATGTTAAACAGACATCATTTTGAGCGATTAAAAATGAAATATAATAAATAGTAAAAAACGGTCAAAAAGTTTAATATGATGCTAACCAGCTCGGTAAGGATAACTGGCCAAAAACTTGATATAGGTTGATTCGAAACTCTGCACATCAATATTCGAAGACATAAGTAAATCTATGAAGAAAAAATTTTAAGATTACATTCAGAAACATGGTAAGAATATCTCAAGATAAAAGATCAAAAAAAAAATAAAATCTCTATACTTCGGCATGAACCAATTCACCAAATCCCAATTTAAATAATTCGACTAATTTTTCATGAATATTAGGAATTTGTGACAAGTATTGATCCATTTTACCACAATATATTATGAAAGAAAGTCTCCTGAGATTTAATGCCCGATTTAATGACTCTAGCTCTTTATTAACAAACAATGCGTTTGCAGGTGTAGTCGTTATTCGAGCTATTAAAAAATTAAAACAAAAATTATGAAAAAGTATTCGATATAATATTGTTAACAAAGGTAAAATTAAATATTTACTCAAAACTTCAACTAATCTTTCCTTTTCTGATGTCATTATTGTTTGCATTATAATACGCCATTTTTTAGCAGCAGTGGGAGTCATATGAAAAAATCGGTTGTCTATAAAAACATCCCACGCTTCTTTACGCCAAACTCGGTATGCGAAGTCTATCTTTGAAGTCTCGCATAGAAGATCGAGCGTTATTGGACTGATACCAACACTAAATATTCACACTGATCAGAATGTGACGAATTCAATATTTCTTTACTTTATACTGTACAAAAAAATATCTTACTTTGAGCGATTTTTCAGAGAAGGGGCTATTACATAGTACATAAGGTTAGTTAATATGGCAATAATCTTATCTTCACTCTCAGCTAACAATCGCTTAATAGTTGGTATCACAATAGTAGCAAGATATTGATTTGTCTAAAGAAAACAAAATTAAGTGTCGAAAATTTTTTAAATTTCATAATGTAAAAAAAAAATGTTTTATCGCACTTGGTCGATCAAAATTTCTTCTTTTGATTTGTATGCAGTTTTTTTTTCTTCTTGTACAGGAGTAGTAATACGATTCCTTTCTGTTTCACTTTCGTCAGCTTCTAAATAAAATAGCACGCAAGGCATTCGAATTATATTTCTCGGAATAATAAAAATAAAGCAAAATACCAAAAAAAAAAAAAATAAAAAAATAAAAAATAAAAAAAAAATAAAATACCTTCAGTATTATCATCCTCGCCTTCTGGTAGAGGCGTAGAACGCCGAAGCCATCCTTGATCAAATTGGCGTCCAGATATCAAAATACAATAATCTAAAACTCGTTGATAAACGTCCTTATAATAACAAAAAATTTTAATATATAAATTAAATAAAGAATATATACTAAAGGTGCTAATAGTACCTGCATATCTTTCTTCACTTTCTTATCTTTAAAATACGCGGTTGAGCATAGTTTATCAGCCAATCCATGCATGAATCTAAATTTAATTTGAATATGAGTTCAAAACAATCAAGCATTACGAATTGATTGAATGTACTAACCTCAAAATATTAGGAAATAAATATTTGTAAGTTGTTGCCTGAGCAAAATGATCTTTCACGTATGATATGCATTGAGGCCAAACTTTAGTTAATGGCTCAAGTTCCCCTAAAGAATCACAATAAGCCTCTATAAAACGTAGAATCATTATATCTGTTCTGTAAAAAAGTTAAATATTGAATAAATTCCCAATTAATAATGGTTTCCAATTTTTTTTTTTTTTTTTTTTTTTTAAAAAAAGCGACGTATATGAAATGATTAAATTAAAACTTGCAATTTGTTGGTTTTATAGCCAGGCTTTTTGACTTTGGGCATTTGTACTCCAAGCGATCGACCACGAGCGTTGATCAAAAGAGTGTTTATTACTTTTGGGACAGAAGAGCCAGGAATGATTTTAAGCACTTCAATAACAGTGCTATCAACACCTTTCGATGTTATCTATATTAAGGAATGGATGAAAAAATTTTATTATTTATAAACTGACATTCCAAAGTGATTATTTATAATAAATCTTGCCTCGGAAACTGCAGCAGTAATGTCAGGATTCTCGATATACCAAAGTTCGACAAAAGCTTCAACGAGTTCCGCATGCGACTTTCTGTAAAGTTCTTCTAGCAAATTCTTGATTCTATTCTTTACTCGCGTCTCTGTATGAGCAAGTGATATACCAATTGGACATATTCCAGCCTTCTTTGGTCTGTTCGAAGAAGATGAAATTTTGAAAACCGTCCATATGTCCAAAATGATAGTTACAATGTTTGGAAAAACGGTGTATAGTATATAATCTCTGGGCTAAAAATAAAGAAATTAAATTGAGTGCGTAAATACAAAATACAATTACTTATAACTCATAGAAAACCTGCAATACCTTTTGCTGTTCTGATATCGGTGTCTCATTTGTCCCATAGTCAGCTGAGAATACACCAGTTACATAGCCAGTTATTGTAGGAAGACCAAGTGTTGTATCATAAGACCTACTTCCGTGTGAAGTAATATCGCCATCATCAGTTGTATGCTTATTCAAACAATCTTTCACAATTTCTTCAAAGCCATTAAACAAAGTGATAATATCCCAATCGGACATTGCATAATCATGAATAATTTGTGATGAATTGGGAGAGACAGATTCACTGTTTTTTATCATCAAAGTATAATGATATTGTGTTTCTGTTTTCCAATTACTCAATTGTTCACAGATACATTGGATCAATGGTATCAATACATTATTGAATGATTGTCTAAGATAAGGTATAGATATTTCAATAAGATCCATCCATTCCTGTAAAAGTGGTCGATTTGAATGTTTTGATAATGACATAGTCAAAACTTTAGTAAAAAGAACTGTTAATCCGCTTGTACGAGAATGTTTTGAATCGTTAACTTCTTCTTTCGAAACAGATCTTTCATTATGACCAGTCGGAGAACTTGAATACTGTTCCGTTATCAACTTCTTTGTCGAAGGTGAATTTGAAGTAAGAGAGCCATTTACAAAATGTTCATTCAATTTACCTAAATTTATGATAGTTGAACGCAGTAATGGTAAAAGCTTTGCCTGTAAATCCAACTGTTTTGAAGAAATACAATAGTACATTTTACGCAAGATAGTTTCATAGACTAAATAAACCATTTCATTATTAACTAAATTGGGATTTTCAACTAACTGGTGAAGGAATTCTGCTGCATGTAAATGGATATGTTGATTAAACATATTCATAGATGAAGAAGTGTCTAGTACCTCGGATTCTATATATATCAAAGAAATCCTAATAAATAGTTCACTATATGTCATAGAATTTGATGAATTCTCGTTGCCTTTAAGCCAGGTACAAGAATTAATTAATTCAGTCTTAACGGATGAGACATGTATTGCATTTAGAAATGCGTTCCCTCCGACTCGACACATTGTAGACAACGTCTCAAAGACATAATCAACTTGAGCCTGGTTAAATGGTTTTTCATAATAAATAACTTCAAATGTACCATCATCTATTTGCGATTGAGTTTTTTTGCGAAGAATTGTAGAGTCACATAAAATTTTGACTATTGGGTGTAAAATTCTTATATAAGATTTATTATTACGATTCCATCTCATCCAAGTTTCACCTGCTCTACGACTTGAAGGATTTTCATCGCGTAGAGAATCCAATACCAAAAACATTTGTTGAGAGAAAGCGGTATCGGTATCATGAAATCCCGCAGAAAGCATCCAAAAAATTCCAAACCTTTCAAAGTTTGCTAGTCTAATCGATGAATCTTTTTGTATTAAATATTCTGATATTACAGCTTCTACATAATTTGCATGAGATACATCTTTGAGCTTCCAAATGAGTTGAGATGATCGTAAATGTAGGACATTATAATTAGGACCCAAAAATCGCCACAATGTGTCAACAATGTCCCGAATCTGTTGTTTGGAGTCAAGCAAGCGAGACGAGATAAATCGCTTATCAATTACAAGATAGAGAAGAGTCGAGAGTGCCGAATCAATTATTTCAAAATTCCCGATCATGTAACAGCATTTTAATAATGAATCGACCCATTCACCAGTAAATAATTTCAATATCTCAGTTTCATTTTCACGAGTATCACGCACGATATGATAAAGTTGCGTTGAAATGTCCCTTAAAAGCTTGCATGCACGATCTATTATTATAGCGAACGAACGTTGAGTTTCACCTTTATTATTATCATTTTTGATAAGTATATGTTTGGTAATTATACAATTCAAAAACTCTCGTATAATCTTTAATAATTCTTCAGCCAAAAACCGCCCTCGTATTCCACTAAATTTTTTGTTTTCAATATTATCACTTCCATATAAATAATAATTATTAATGTATTTTATAGGGTCCATTCCGGGAAAGAAATCTAAGTCCACTTGTGATGGTGGCGCAGTTGAAACATCTTCATTTGAAGAATCAGCTTTAAACGTATAGTTTTGTACTTGTGATAATGGTCTATTAGTAGTGCTCGGTTTATCTGTCGAATCTTTTGTTAACTTATGAAAAACACTATTCGGAATTTTCTGGAAAATATCTAATGCTAATTGTAAGGCAGATTCGACTTGTAAAATATAAGAGATAAAATTTGAATCCTGCGCGACATTCTATAATTCAGATATAGAATAAAGTTTTTAAATAAAATACTACTATATATAATAAAATAATGTAATGAATAATTATTACTTGAAGTTTACAGAGCAGAGCAGTCAAAAACAACGGTAAATGAATTTGTTCAATTTCTTCTTCATGTAATTTAAACGAATTCAGAATAAAATTTACTAAATCTAAAGCCTATGAAAAATAAAAATGTTAGGCTAGCAATATGCTGGAGGTAAAAAGTAATATTAAATTTTTACTAACGGAAGTGTCTAGCCCGTCCTTAGAAGAAAATTTATCAAGGAGGCCATATAATTTCATCCAAATTAAATATGGTTCAATCATTTCCATAAACATATTTGCAGTTTGTAATAACTTGAGAGAGTAGTAATAATTACTATATTTGAATATTGTTTAAGCTGGAAATTGCAATGGATATCACGCTTACATCCATTCCGAATTCTGATTTATCAACATGTTTTTTTAGCGACCATAAGACATCAATAAACAATTCTTGAACGATCGGCTGCCCGATTTCCCATTTATCCATTAATGAGATCAAGATCTTATACGGTCGCTGGGCATTAGCCAAATCATCAGCATCCATAAAAAAAGAGCTCTTTTTTTTAAAGCAGAAATATAAATATAAATATAAATATGATAAAATAAAATAAAAAAATAATTAGAAATTATAAGAAAAAAAGAAAAAAAAACCTTTAATGCGGAAACTACAGCAGATTTAGCATACACTTGAAAATGGTCAATTTGTTGTTCTATATGGTCATCAGGTCCTAATAGCCATGCATAAAGTCTTCTGTTTAACGACATATCCTTTCGCAGAACCACAGACGTTGCAGATTTCATTAGTAGTATAAGATCATCTTGTTGCATAATACTTTGGAAAAAAATTAACGGTAAATATAGGAAAAATAACAAAACAACATTTCAAGGAAATACATACTCTCCGAAATTATTGACCTTTAACGGAAAATTGACCACAAGTATTTCAAGAATAGCACGTTGAACTAAAACCTGCCTGTCACCTAAGGTGGAAGAAAATGCGCGAACCATGATTCCAACATCGTCACCTAGAACAAAAGCAACATCTTTATGGTCACATTAAAGAAAAAGTTAGATAATTATACACAAATTTATTTACAAAAAATATATATTTATAAAAAATATATTATATATATAAAATAAACCTTCTTTTGAAGCAATCTTCGGCATACGTCGAGACAAATAGCTTAGAGCAGGTGTTCGTAAAGCAGGACAAGTAATTAACACAAGCCACATGCTCTGCAGAAAGTAAGACTTTTCAACGATCCCAGACAAGTAATCTAAGAGAGACAAAACCTAAATTTAAGAATGAAGCATTAGTCAATAGTTTAAATGATAAGTTTACACGATATATTATTAAATACTTTGTCAAAGAATTCACTCCCTTCCTCTTCAAGCCCGGGTAATAAAGCAATGATAAAGGCTTTCATGACAGGACGTAGTCGTTCCTTTAGGGGAAACATGTAATTTTCATATAGATCTAGTAATTGGGGCTATAAAAAATGAATAATTGATATGAAACAAATTATAGAGGGATTCGCAGGAAATATTCTAAAGAATATATAAATTAATTATACCTTAACAGACATAGCAGCGTATTGAAAAAAAGGAAACAAGCCTTGGGAGTAAATTGGTAAATCTTCAGCTAATAGATCGCTCTAATCATTAATACACCCTTTATGAATTTCAGATCAACTATTATTGAAAATTTTAATGGCAAAATACGAAGGGTATAAAGTATATTAACGTACCCCTATAGTTTTAAAAATGTAAGCATAAACTTCTAAGGCTTTTTGATGCACACCCGGAGGTAGACCAGGGTGTAAGGACTGAGCAAGGCGTTTTGTGACCAAAAGCTTTCGAGGGATAACAGGAAACTGAGGGTAAGCTTGAAAAGCCTAGATTTGTAAAAGGGTTTGTTAATAAATTTATTAGAATTGAACGGATCTAATTAGAAATTTAAACAAGTTTTGAGAATTTATTAACCTTTAAAAGCTTTCCCAAGAACGATATGAAATCGGCCCATTCATTAACTTCTTTATCAAAGGATAGTAAGATCCTTTCCACTTGCTGAACATATTTTTTGTACTGGGCATCTTTACGATATTTCTCTAGTTCACGCATTTTTTATAATATTTAAAAATTTAAATACAATGCATACCGGTATATATCAGAAATCGATATTGCCACGTGAAAACATTAAACGTAACACAAATTTGGATCAAATAACATCATCGTTAGGGAAGGGAACAAAAACGGCTAGCCTAAAAATCTTTAATTTGCAGATAACGATAACGATATGATAAAAGTGATACAATCGAATCAATTGCCCGGGTAACTAATTTATATATTTTACAATATTTTTTATACGGATGTTAAGAAACACCACATTTGTGCACACTAAAAATTTTATTTAACGTTTTAATTTGAAATAATTTGGTAGAAACCAACCAATTAAAACAATTTTCGATAATCTTTTTTTTTAATTTCAAATTGGTTGGTTTCTACTTTTGAGGGTCTATTTTTCTATGTAAAGTTATTGATTACAAACTTATATAACATTCTAAAATCTCGCATTAGAGACTGAACTCGTCAATTCGTGACTCGAATAACTCGAGTTTATCACGATTCGGCGAGTTAATTACCGATGTAACAATTACGTATCGCAATTATAACTTTTCTGTTACGTCGAATCCGACTAAAATTGTCTGTAATTTTTAGAAAGGATGTTCTATAGAATAGGTGGGCAATGCCCTATTCTATAGAACATCCTTTAGAAATAAGAAACCTCTGTTCAGAGTCGAGCAAACTAAATAATTAGGACAGTAACATACTGCCAATTTTTACCCTATCGCTACGTTAATAGATCAATGGACACCAGACAAATTGATATGTCCAGTGCCCGGTAATAATTCATCGGACATAGAGGCTGCACAACCTGGGAGAATCGTTATTCAAGTAAAATTGGTCTTAACCAGATCTCATGATAAAATTAGACAAAAAATTTTTTTTTTTGCCTTCTGGTAACTGTTTAAATGCTAATGACGACCATAAGTGGTCTTTGTGTTACTTTAGCTTACAAAATTGAACAACTTGCGCTTAAAGTTATTATTGCATCAACGCTAAACTTTCCCAGCAGTAGTCGACGATAATTAATTGACTAGTTAGAACTGCATAACGATAACAATAAACGGAAATTTTACCTAATATTCGTAAAAACATAATATTGAATTATGCTTTCTCTCGCTTCGACGTAATAAAAAAATCCGTTCTTAAAATCAAATAATTTAAAGGAGATCTGTATTATTTAACATACAGCGTGCCAATTTATTAAATACAATAATACTATATCGATATCGATATTATAACGCTTTGCAATAAAGTGTGACATGAAATATAATAAACAAAATAAATAATAATAAGTCAATTTATAAATATTTATTATTTAATGACAAAATTAAATTCGAATCTCTTTTTTATAGAGAATTCGTGAGTAAAGACATAAAGTTACTTTATATAACGAATCCAATAACCACCGGAGAATATTTTTTGATTCTAATTAAAAAAAAAAAAACTTAAAATTAATTCACAGTAAGCTAAAAATAATAATTAAAATTTTATATTATATCGATATAAAGATAAGTTTAGTACAACACTAGTTTACTTAATATTACATCTATAGAGGTATCCCAAAATGGAGAAGAACGTTCACAGTATTTTGCAACTGTGGCCACGAAGAGCTTTCAATTCTCCAAAAAAATATAAAATTTAATGTTGTGCTGTCATCTACTTAGCCGAAACTGGAAAAAGAACGTTCACAGCATATTGTAGCTGTGGCCACGATGCGCTTTCAATTTTTCTAGTTATTACACCCACCCGTGGGAACGCCTAAGAGGCACGACAAACACGTACCAAATGAACTCCGATATACGTTATGGTTATAACAAGGTAATTCATAACTAATTCCTCATCTAGAACTAGTAGAACCTAAACCAATAACATCGAGTTTAAAATATCGAAATATTTTAAACATTCACCCGGTAGAGAGGCGACGGAGATTAAAATATTGAAAATTTTTTAAAAGTCCATCTGATAGATAGTCTCGTAAGATATAAAAAAAGTAAATTCGATATTATACTTGGAGCTTACACCGGTATCAGCTCCCCTATCTAAAGATAATTAAAATTCTAATATTATTAATTAACTTACATTTAAATTTTCTTCGGAAATATCATCAAAGTCATCACAGAAAAGTTGTCAGGCATCACGAAACGTCGTCTTGAACTTATAGAAACATCACCATAAGCTTGCAGAAACGTCGTCATGAACGTAATCAAAAACTCCACGAACGTCGTCAGAGACTCTACAAAATCGTCGTCAAAATCTGTAGAAAAGGGCGTTCTATAGAATAGGTGAGCAAAAACTCCGCTGAATATATTAAAATTTAATGATTACTAATCATCAGCGAAGCTTATTTCTTATATTGCTTACCTATTCTATAAAACATCCGTAGAAAAAATTAAAAATTAAAAACAAGAGAAAAAAAATAATACAGTAATATAGCAGATCTACTATCAAAACAATCAAACAATGTGTTTATATCATATTATGATTGGTTGATTTTGAAGATCATCTGACATTTGTGAAACAGGGACGATGATTTTCTGCGGTGGTTAAGACTAAATTCTGCTGTGCTTGTAGTACTATTTCTGTGATTTCTTGGCTTTTGTAGTATTCTACGGTGATTCCTCATAATTTGGTGCATTCTGTTGTATTCTGCGGTGATTAAAATTCTGCGGTATTCTGTGAAACACAGAAAATCATCGTCCCTGCGCTAGGGCTGTTGTAATTCATATAATAATGTATCAAACAGATCTCTTTAAATTTTAAAGTAATAAAGACGGCAATACACAATTTATAAACGTGACTTTGGACGATCTTAACGCTCACCAGAGGTGAAATTCACCAGCTATATGATTAACCAATAAAATTGCAGGATCTTGTGTAACTATAATACAGAAATTTAAAGAAAAAAAAATTAAAAATCATTAATATCTTAAAATTTTATTATAAAAACTTACATCATGTCACTAAGTAAAAGTTTTCAGCGCTTAATTTTACATATAATAAACACTCTAACCCTAATATAGACCTCGCCCTAACCCTAAAGTTAAAGAAAAAATTGTTTGTAAAATAATTAAACTGATATAAACTATCCCCTATCCGAACCCTGTATCACACCTACCAATTAGTTGAAATCATGTTTTTACTTAATTTTATTGGTTAATTGTAATTTCTTTTTTTTTTTTAGTTTTAAAAAGATAATTATCCAACAATCATTCAACAATTAGTCGTAAAATTTTACCCTAACACCTTAACCTGACTAATTCACGTTACACCTGATATATGCAATTTAAAAACCGTTAACGTTAAATTTTTTAAATACAAAATTTGTATAACCCGGCAATCCAAGGTTGTCACATTCCGATGTTTCGATTTTTTTGACATATCGATATTGATACGTATGTCCAAAAAAAATCGAAACCAATTGGATATTGTAACATGACAACTCTTATTTTTGGGTGACACTAGACTGTTTAATCTTTTAACTTTAAAAAATTCAAAATTAAAACCAAACAGCGTTAAAAAATCATTAATTAAATGTATTGTCCAATCAAACAATATTGTTATCGAGCCGACGACCTAGTATCGCCCATAAAAAAAATGTAATTGACGTATTTTTATCTGTTATTAGATCATAATAAAGGCATAATATTACATTTTAATTTTGAACTTTTATTTATTATCAGTTATGCAGATATGATATTTAATTCAATCGAAATTCAACAAAAGAAATTTCAAAACGTTTTATTAACTTATTTATAATCTGTATTATTCCACGTTTCTATGCATGTCGGGGTTTTAATCACTACTATAATAAGCGTTGTCGGAAATCATACATATTAATGTAATGATAGTAAGTCGTCATTTACATCACGAAGAATAATATATTATTCCCCACTACGGGGGAATAACTCGGTAAATCTCTGATCAGCTGGCCCCAGATAACCGGGGACTTGCCTCTTATACCCGCCGTTGTGGGGAATAAGTAATAATTATTTATAATATTTTATTGGATTAAATTTTAATTAAAGTATACCGATACGCGTATCAAGTATTAACGATATGAAAATCTTATCTGTATAAAAAAAAAGCTAACTTGAAAGTATTCCGTCTTACCGTTACTAACGTAGTGTCATGATGTCATCATATGATATCATGAGACACTAAAAAGTTTATTATTACTAATTCAGTCGTACATATCGATATATGATAATCTGTCTTTGAAGCGTTGAATGGAGCAATTAAAGCAAAAAGTTTTCAGCATATCGATATCGATATAACTAAATATATAATAACAGAATAATATTAAGTAATAATATTGATAATTCCCAATGAAGAAAATTTCCCAATGGAGCACATACTGATGATAATGGGTGCAATTTTAGATGATTAAACGCGTTCGCCTTGTCACTTGTTCACCTTGTTACCTTTTTCACCTTTCCTCTTTTGACCTTTTCTCTTTTTCTTTCATCGGCACTCAACGGCGGGAATCTACGATTTTTTTATTACGTCAATTCGTGACTCGAATAACTCGAGTTTATCACGATTCGGCGAGTTAATTACCGATGTAACAATTACGTATCGC